TGCATGGTTACCAAGGTGCTTGGAGGACTCCCACCTGCTGGTATCTGTTGGGAAGCAGCTGGTGTCTGGGTCCTGTTGAGTTGGGGAGGTGGGTTATGAACAGCAGAAGCTGACAGGTGGGGTGAGTGAAAAAGCAAGTAGACTGAAGAGGCTTGTATCGCTTTAGGTAATGTGAGTAACCCTGCATACTCTAATAACCCAGTGGCTACTCGCTCGGGTCTGTTGAAACCTTCTGCAGCAATGGTGGGATGCCTGGACCTATTACCTGGGAAGCAGATATTTGGGCTTTCCTGCGGCTGAAGTTTTAACAGATGAATACAGTGCAAAGATGAGAAAGGGTAACACGAGGGTCTGGAGAGATGGCTCAGAGGTTTAGAGCATCTGTTGTTCTTGTAGATCAGCTTCGATTCCCAGGCATCCATATGCCCACTCTCAACTGTCCATCACTCCTGTTCCGGGGGATCGGATGCCCTCTTCTAGCCTCTGAGGGCGCCGGACATCCACATACAGATATGGAGACGAGACATTTCATGACATAAAATAAATAATAAAAAGAAAGAATAATGAAAAGGGTATTACTTCAACATTAATTAGTCTGTGACTGTCTAAATGGATGAGGACTGACATGAAAAAGTCAAAGAACTGCCATATGGAAACAGAATGTCCCAGTGAGCTTTAAAAAGGCATGGTAGACAGTGTTCGACAAACACACCTTTTTGGTGTGTTTGGAGCCTGGAGCCGGGCATTGGTGGTGCACGCCTTTAATTCCAGCACTTGGGAGGCAGAGGCAGGCGGATCTCTGTGAGTTCAAGGCCAGCCTGGTCTCCAGAGCGAGTGCCAAGATAGGCTCCAAAGCTACACAGAGAAACCCTGTCTCAAAAAACAAAACAAAACAAAAAAAAAGATTGGAGCCTGGATGCCTGAGTTGATTTCTGTAGTCTACCCTTACAGAAAACAACCAGACTCCTAGGTCACCATAACTGAAATGGACACAGCTGACTCACGGCCGGCAATACTAATAAACTGAAAAAACCAGTTGCACATGTAGAAAGAGAAGTTATGGCGTGATGCCATTTGTACACAGTTCAGAACCTGTGAGGCTACCGTATAAGGTT